GGCCAAAGTTGCCTTCAATACACCTTGAAAGTCTCCGCCAAATGACGTGCGGCAGTATTGAAATGTTGCATTAGGAAAAGTTCTCAAACTTGTATATGGTACCTGTCTCAGAAGACGCTCAACGGATGTAGCTTTTCTAATGAAATTTGCACTGTCTTCATGATATTACCCGTGTGACTGGGCATCAACGGGAAACTTTCCGCCCAGGCGCAAACACGTCGCAAGAATGCTGCGAATCTGTAGCGAAATAATGGAATGTACAGAAGTTATTGAAAGGCAAGACAGAGAGAGAGAGAGAGAGTGAGAGAGAGAAAAGTGTGAAAACTTTTTAAATATAAGAAACGTCTGTTTGACGCATCACCGTGATTTCCAAGACACGAGAGAAGCACAAACACGTCCCGCTGACACGTTACTTGGGGGATTTTGGGGGTGAATAGAGCAAAATCATGATATACTGACTTAACTTTTCTCTGCCTTTCAATTGAACTTCTCACGTTCTTGTGCGCCACGCCGCAAACTTTCCCTGCAACTTTTGGCCCGCGATGGAATTCTGGGGGGGGTGAAAATTTACTGCACTAAATACTGCGGGGAAGAAATTCAATATAAATATAACGTGAAAAATCTCTGCGTTCTCTCAGAGCCGACACAGAGAGAAGGTCGCGGGAAACAGAGGTCATGCGATGAGAATATGCAAAGAATTTTGGACGAATGGGAAAATCCCCACGAGTCGACCTGCGGGAAAACTTTGCATAGCTGAGAAGATCAGCACAGAGAAAAGTCCGGAGCAAGAGAGGCCAAAAAGCAATTATGTTAGGAGGAATATTTCCCCTGACAGAAGCATTACACTCTGTGTTGTGCAGAAAGTGTTCTGAAATATGCACAAGCACATAAATTCATTTAAGCCTTTATGGCATATTTGATGAGCATCATTTGACATTTTTATCAAAGAAGATTGAATGACGCTGGCGACAGAAAAAGAGTCATTTTTCCCGAGGCGTCGTCATATCGGCAAAAAGATAGGGTGAAGCGGGGCTATTCGCCAAGAGTGTTTGTCCTAAGAAATTTCCTGGCACTTTCTGAACTTTAGCAGTGCTTTAAACTTCCATTTTCCTTACTTTTTAACCGCCTAAAGTAACTTAACCTCAAATTTAGGAGTCTCCAACCCTAAAAACTGATAGAAAAACAGTATATTTTGGAACATAACCTAAAAAATACCTTGAAATATTTTAAAGAACCCTTGAAAGAAGCTTATTTGGAATCTTTTAGAGCCAAAACTAATCGGCAATGAACTGAAATTTGCTATTTCAGAAGAGAAAATCTGTCAAAGAGCTTTTAAAATAGACAATTTTTTATCCTGAAACAATATTTTAGAGGTTATGATCAATCTTAGCGTAATTAACACAGTTTGTACTTGAAATCTAGTGATCTACATAACCCAGGAATATGTAATGTTTTTCCAATAATTTCTATGTTTAAGCTATGAAAAGTTCTGAGTTTTGCTTCCCTGAGAAGCCTTCTCTTCCCCTACAAGTTAGTGCGTAAAATGGGAGCAATAGAAAGCAAAGAAGTTGTGGTAAAAAATCAGCCTTTGTTGGCATGGTGCCGATCATTATTGCCATTATTTACAATGAATGCTTCATGTATGTTCACATTTTTCTCAATTGTCTCCCACGCCAGGCGATATGTTAGACATATTCGCCGTGGAGTTAATACCAGCGGGCGGGGTTTATTTAATAATAGATATTTACTTGAAATATATGCAAAAATATACATGGAAAGTTATGGAAATGAGAGCCACACATCTAAATTTGGCCAAACTTCTCTACCAGCGCTGCTGAGGGTGGAAAAAAAAACGGGCACAGCAGATATGGCATGTGAATTTTACGCACAACAGTCATCCCCCGCAGTCGGAAAATCCCTTAACACCCCATTTTGTGAATTGCCGAACGCCGTGCGACGCTGAGGATTCATTCAACTTTTTATCGGCCCTCCAGCTCTTAGAGTGGCCCATTTTCCAACCCTCGGCCATCGAATGTGCCTCTTGGCCGTCAATGTTCACCTGCAGGGCTTTCAATTGACGAGTCACCCTCAAGGCGGCTGCCATTTTCCACACATTTCCATCTCGTCAGCAGATTCGCAACATGTGAATTTCGCCAGCTGCAGCGCATCGAAATCCGCTCCGGCATTGAATAATCTTCGGAGAATTGCTGCTAATTGCCAACAGTCAGGATATGATTGCTAAATAGCAGACATCCCATTAGTTTTTAATGGAATTAATTACGCGCAATAAATCATGGAAAACACACCACGCGACTTGTGGAATTTCCACGATAGTTTAAGTGAGATGTTTTAATGAAATAAATTATTCAAAGGGCCCTGAATTGAGGGGAGTTATTAGAGGTATTAAGCGCGAGAATATTTGAGCTTAAAACGACCCCGCGATAAAGGATGCGAGAGAGGTGTGCCCTTGATTTAAGCTAACTACCCCTAAAGCCAATATATAATGGATCGGACAGTTTTGATGGGGAATTGTGTCAAACTTACTGATTTATGTCTCGAAAATAAGCGTTCGACGTGGTGCTTTTTTACACGTCGGCATCCTCCAGTGGGATGTTTTATGCTCTCGCGCCCCGAAGCGAAGGGATGAAGAGCGAGAAAAAGTGATTTCATACATTTCTAATGGCCACCCCGTAAATTAGGGCGCTTGGCGATTCTGCACCCCAGCAATTCTGGTCAAGATTCCTCCCCATTTTTTTTTCCCTGGGGGTGAACGGGGTGAACGTGACTTGGTGGTGATGACACATATATAGATGGTGTATCAATTAAATTGCTAAACCTTTGAATAATTTCAAAACTTTTTCTCCACTCCTTGGCGCAATTGCCAATAAATTTGATGGGAATTTCACTGACATCAGCTTAAAATAGGGCAAATTCTGGCAAATTCTTTCTTCAACTTCTCCATTCGCCTTATTTATGCAAATCCGTGTTCAACTTTCCCATAGATTATTCTGTTTGTGTGGCATGAAAAAAGGCCAAAAAATCTCTGGGAAGAAACAAAGAAGAGCCCAAGAAACTAACCAAGAATTGAGTTACATTATTTTCTCTCAGAGATTTTATCTTGGGCCGTATTGGAAATTTCACTCACAATTCATTGGTAAACTCAAAATCTCAGAAAAATTCACCCTCCCAAAAGTCTACAAACTGGCGATGGGGAGGGGGTGTTGGGGAGGCGCTCTGCAGAGAAAGTCACAACAAATAAAATTGTCGACAGTCGGAACAATGGTGTTCAATGGATAGAATGCTAAATTTCACGGGGAGAGAAGTGGGTGAGGAAGTGAGAGGGTTTGAGTGAAAACAAATAAAAGAGAAATGGAAAAGTTCCACCAAAGTTTTAATTGATTAGCTTTCTTCCCCCCTCCCGCCTTGTCATACTTAATTTTCCACAGTGACTTCCAGTCAAATAAATATATCGCGCATATTTTCGCTGGTGGCTGGAGAATTTATTACTCTTCTCCGGAGAAGAGCTGAAAGTGAGATTGCAACTCTTCGTTCGTCTTTCAATCTGATTGAGCATGTGCCGGATAAGCCATGATTTAGCCTCTTAACCATCGATTTAACCGCAACTTCGACTGGATATTAATTAACACTGGAAATCCCTTCTTGATCTCCTGGGTATTTTACATGCGAGAGAGAGAGCAATCAATGCCCGATGGCAAAGGTCGACAATGACCTCCTGATGGTAACTTTGGGGTGCACATGGCAAGGGCCAGACGTTCTCCATCGTCATTACTTTAATGACTGCCAGATGCAGAAGAGGCTGCAAACGTGACTCCATTATCACCCATCACGAGACGGACATAAATCACGACTGTAAACAGCCAGCAGAGCCAATTTGTGATAAACACCTTGTTAATGCTATTCACACAATCAATAACATGCCAAATGCTGGATCACAACCACTCAATTATCTCGCTACAAAAGGTGGGTATTCAAATTTTGGGGTGAATCCATTATGGCTGAATGGAATTCAATATCGCAAATACAAATTCAACTTTTTGTCATTACTTTTCTCGCCGAAGGCGGCAACAATTCCAGAGAAATGGAAATGAAACATCGACACAATGATTACTCTTGCAGTTTTGATATAATTGTTTTTCAGTTTCCAGAATAATCACGCCATGAATTTCATATGCTACATATTAGCCATAGTGTTGAAAACCATTGCACGGAAATTTATTCAAACAAATTACCATGTTTGGATACAGAATTGCACTGAGAGAAAAACGGACTAAAAATTCTTATAAACGGAATTTTTCACTGAATCAAGAATAAAATCGAGATTATTTGACTATAAAGTAACAACCGAAATTAAGTCTTGAGCTTGAAAATATGCCGAAGATACTAAAATTATTTTTTTCCAATTTCTCGATCTAAAATTTAACCTTTTTTGATTTTCTACAAGACCTTTGTTATATCGAGAATACTAAAATCAAGAATATTTGAAAATAAAAACAAGTTAAAAAGTTTTACTATAAGGTAAAAAAATTAAGAATAAAAATAATAATAATTTGTTCTTAATATGTTTTCATGCTGAAATCATCTTAGTTTTACGAGAAAATGTATTAAATTTCAGTTTTATTTAGCGAAAAAGAAATTTTATTTGTTTTTAGATTCGAAACAAATCTTTTCTAACAATTTTTTACATAATTTCTCTGGAAATACTTGAAATTACGTCAAGACAGTTCGAAAACTTAAAGTTACAACGATCGAAAGCTTCGGAAACTCATTTCTTGGTGTGTAGAATATGTAACTGAATTTAAGACTGAATTAATATGAATAGAGGAACAGAAAAAAAATTTTGCAGCATGATGCAATTGGACAGATAAGAGAAAATTTGGAGCTCTTCCAAAGTCCATTAAGCTTTTGCTTTTGGTGTGCTTTTAGGGACATTTCAGCGCATTTATATAGTGGATAATAAAACAATGGAAAACATACTCTCATTTTGACAATTTATTATCTTCTCTTCATGATGAAAGCGTCTGAAAGGCGTTGAAAAGGTCTCTCGAATAGCAGAGTATTTATCACTGCCAAGATATATGTGATTATAGTTACAGCCAAGAAGAATATTGCCTGCAAAGTGCAACAGATTGTCAGTAAATTGCGACTTTGGAGGATTTTTCGGTCAATTTCAAACCTGCTCAGCGATATCCACTTGAACTCCTTTCTCCTTCACGCCGGCGAGGAAGAATATCACGAGCGGATTCAGCAGATACGCGGTGTAGGTCAATTTCTGGGTGTGCTGGAAAGCGCCGTGGCTGAAAATGGTGTTAATCCAACCGCCATGGCCGAGGTGACAAAGGACGATGGCCACACCGGTGCCAATGCCAATGGCCACTCGTCCGCCCGCCAGGATGATTGCATACGCCCAGCTGGGCAAATCCCGCCAGTAGGAGACGCCGAGCGAGCCGAGCAGCAGCATTCCCATGCAGCCCCACGCGAAAACCGCGAAAATCTGTCAAACAGATCCATTAATTGGCGATGAAATTAGAGGATATTTGGAAGTCATTTCACACCCTCTTGATTTTAATGTCGTCCTTCACGATCCTCCGCATGAGATAGCCAGCAAAGGCGCCCGCAATGTAGGGATTCATGCGACACCAGAACTTGGCGTACACGATGTTGAGTGTCCTGAAGATGGCGTCAAAGCTAATGGGAAAATCGGTGAGACTTTTAATTGGATGCGAGCGCCAGAGAGAGAGAGAGATTGCATGTCTCACCGAACTGTGAAGTCGTTGGTGAAGAGCGTGTAGAAGGTGAGCGGAATGAAAATTGCTCCCACAATTGCGAATAGCAATTTCCCAAGGGCTTTCGACTTCACGAAGATAAAGAGGAGCAACAGGAAGACGATGAAATATTGGAAATCACATGCCAAATACCACGTCCAACCTCCTATGAATTGCAAATGTCGGGCGGGGGCGAGGGAGAGAGATAAGAAAGATGACGCTTGACAATTCCACATGAATTCCCATCTCAACTCACCACATATCATATTCATGTCCAGGAAGTTCTGTATGTAGAGCAAATTGTACCACCACGAGCTGAGGGATTTTCCAGTGCAGGCGGAAAGTTGAGGAGTTTTTTTTTTTTACCACCCCCATCGCCGCATGTGTGCAGATAGAAAAATGAAGAAAAAAAAGCTCGTAAGTTTCCTCGCAGAACCGCGTAACTTGGCAATCAAATTAGAATAATTGCGGTCATACCTTTCGCACTGGAAGTCTCGGGTTTCGCTAATGTGGAAGCTCGAGTATGTCTGCATGAACTGATTGACAGTCTCCGTCTGCAGGATCGTGGCGAGGAGTGCAGGAGTCAGGCGGACGTATCGATGAAGCACATGCTTGCCAAAAAGCACCACATTTGCCCCCAAGTTGCTGCCCTGAATCTCATTCTGCAGCTCAATGTTGCCCAAGAAATTGTACACCAGCAGAAAAGCACTGTTGAAGATGGGCGGAGATTCGGAATGTCGGAGCAATTAATGTGATCACAATGCATTAGGTTATATCCAAGGGGGAGATAATGTGGTCAGAAGTGATGTACAGACTAGTAGAAGTGTTCAAACACTACAAATATGCATTTCATGAGCAGTTAATTAGCGTAATTCTTTGAATTTCTCTTGATTGTTACATAAATCAAGTTGTTCCGGAAAATTTTCTAGGTTATGTTAATAATCTAAGTTAGATTTAATTTAAAAAAAAATGTTTTAGAGCATTTTTATGCTTAATTCGAAAGTATTTTTGGTTATTGGCTAAATGAAACGCTTGCAAAGACTGTGGAACACTAAAAACTGTGCTAAGATTCAACATAACCTCAAAAATAGCATTTCGGATTTGGAAAACGCGGGGTTTTAGAACTTTATAAACGATTTTAGACGTGAAATCGGCAAATTCATTGCTAATTATGTTCTATATACTTTATAATTGGTGTTTTTAAGTATTTCTTAATGTTATTTTTTAGGTTATGTTGAAGAGACGATAGAGAAAATAGGTGTTTTGAGTGAATGCGTAGGGAAATATTGAATGGAAACTCAAGAGCTTAATTTTAACCTGAGAATTAGGGAGTTTTACATGCTCATTTGGCAGTGATGTAGAGATTTGAGGCAAACTATCTCCCCCTTGGCCGTACCTCAGGGCGAAGAACACATCCACATAAATCACAGCTGACCAAATCACTTGGTACAGCAATCCCTGGGAGTTGGCCAGGAAGAGCGATGCTGACTCGCTGTAGTGCAGTCCGTAATACAAGATGTGAAACAAGACAATCCACAGACAGACAACGGATCGCACTCCGGCGATGGCGGAGATGGAGTTTGGCGTCGATGTCCGGAAAATGTAGCTCATGTTCTGTCTCAAAGAGAAGCACTCGAGGAGGAGATGCGCTGAGCTTTTCTTCTCATTCCCATTGCAATCAGACTGAGAAGTGGCGGATAATCCCTGAATTAGCATCACGGTCATGATTGCAGCGAAGGAAATGCTGCAAGGGAGTGATTCATTAACCCCGCTGGTAATCCTCTGGACACTTTCTTGGCTTACGCGAGAGCAATCAATTCCGGTCGCAGCAGAAAAGTCCACGATATCGCTGGCTTCTTCACGTCAAGGACCCTCGGATGGATGTGAAAGGTGGCGAAGGCGTTGACCGCCTTGGCCTCGCTGTACAACTTCACTGCCCTGAATATGTCAGAATTGCCACAAGATTCAGGCACGCACAGACCCAAATGCAGCAAAGGCTGAAGGGAATTGATCAAGGAATTGACAGATTAGTGTGAAATTCCTCTGATCCTCATTGAAAGGCAAGAGCTTAATTAGTGATCAAAAGCAACAAAAATAGACTCAAATAGGAAAATAAAACCATAATTTCGATGATGTTGCGAAGACATTATATGCGTAATAAAAGCTCAATTGACGCTTTTTATTACATAAAATTTTAGTCAAGGTAATTTAACAAAAAAAAACTGTATAAGGCTTATGAAAAATACTTTGAAGAGTAACATTTCTTAGTTTTAGTGAGAATCACTCCATAAATGATTATTATTTTGAATATTTCTTTGTTGCACTAGGAAAAGCCTTTGTTATTAGTGTGTTAATTTGATACTTTTCTTTTTGCTTTCTTTGAAATGTCACTTCACAGCCTACAACTCTCGAGAACACATTATTTCTGTCTCAGCACTTATTCACCTGTTTTCTAAACCCATTTCACAATTACGCATTATTTGCATTCACTTTCCACGTCAAACATTGCGTAAAAATGTGCAATTTAAGCACTTTGCGAGAAGGTGTGAATATTATTGAAATTTCCCCATTCGCTGCCCTTTAACAGCTCACCTTGACAATGAACTTGGCGTCAATCTGCAGCGCAGTGCTGATGTTGAGGTGAGCCACGCGGTAGTCCAGGGGAAAGGGTGGCTGTGCGTAGACCAGAGCCTCTGTGGCGGGGGCATCGGTGAGGGTGAGATCGATTGGGTGGGAGATTGAGTTGCACTCCTGCCTGGAGCCCAGCCAGAAGTTGCTGCCCCAGATGTAAGCCTCGGGAGTGGCAGCTGATGCGTCCAGCGCTGCAAAAGTGGGCCAAACACAATCCATTGACTTCCAGATATTTCTCTCTCTCGAGAGAGAGGAGTGTTGGAGTGCTGAGAAATCTTCTCTCGCAGCTCCAATATTTATTCATGAAGAACTCTCGAGGCAAAGTCAAGAGGCGCTGGAGAGCTTTTTGGGCCAAAGAACACTTTCACGAGGAAGTTTGGCCCCAGTGGAAAACAATGTTGCTGAATTATTCAAAAAATGACTCTCTGGAGTGCGTTTCTGTGTGGCCAATCGCCGAGGAATTATTGGCCGCCCTCTTGGGCGGAAAGTGTAGGCAAATTAATTCACATCGCCCATCATTTGTGGATTCAATGGGATCATCAGCTCACCTTTCAAGGCCCACAATTCCTCAGCATTCACGCCCTCGAGCAGCGCCCAAAGCTGCTTCCCACACGAGCCACCGCCCACTTCCTGTCCACCCTCGAGCGTTGCATTGAGAATCCCATAGAGAATGGAGGAGTGGATTAGATTGTCCCTTCGCTCCTCACTAACTGCTCTAGTCCTGAACTCTGATGGCACTCCTGCACAATTAATAAGTGTCACTGAGCACAGAAAAATCGACACTGCGACAAGCAGCATCTTAAGATCCGCCCGAGAAGACCAAATCCGACGGTAGCCAAGCGAAGACTGTGCCTCAATTGTACTGGAAGTAGAAGTTAAAAACACTCTATCGCAATGTGACGCACATAATCATCTTGAGAGAGCTCAAGTGATGAGTATTGAAATGTGCCATAAGAATTTTCACAGATTTTCTGGAAACTCCCCGAGGTTAAAGATCAATTGGCAATTTGATGTGAAAATGCTTGAAAAAGTTAATTTCATTATATAGCTTATTTATTGAATTCTAAAGCTTATTTCAGTTTCACTTCCAAGAAGGAATGTTTAAAAGACACACAATGGAATTTTACATCACTGCGATTATGCCTAAAAAAATCAAATCTCGCAAGATCAGCATAAATGATCACAGGGAGGCGAATTATGATGAAAAAAAGAGGATCATTGAACTAAAAGAAACCCGTTCTGTCTGTAAATGCACAAAAAATTAAATCTCGTTCTCATTTTTTAATTCATTTTATTTCGTGACGATTTATTTCTTAAGTCTTTCGATAATCTATCTTGAGTCGTTTTCAAATTATCGTCATACTTTTCTGTCAAAGTCATAGAATCCGAGTTATGATGGTTGAAATTCTTTTTTGCTTGGGTTCATTATGAGCAGCGTTGAGTGAATTTTTTACATTTTTACTTTAACATAATTCTTTACATGGTAAAATGTGTTTTTCTTTACACACAATGCCATAAAAAGGTATAAAAATCTGTGAAAACTCGCGAAAATCTACTAATTGTAGGCATAATCTTGTAAGTCATCTTCAAATGAAATTGTTAAAGATTTAAGACATCGTCAAGTTCTAAGATTTTCCTGCCGATTTCTTCATTTCTTGTCTTTTCTGACGTCGGACAAGTGCTTCAGACATGCAGAAACTTCATAGACTCCCGCAGGATATTCTTCGATGGACAATTCCTATCCAAACATCGCTTCAGAGATCATCTTTGCATCCATGGACAATGAAAATCATGATCATGATGTCCAAAACGACAATTTTTCAGCTTTCTTTCAATTCTGACAAGCTCAAATGTCATTAGAATTTTAACATTGTTACACATTATTTTCGTACAACATGTTGAAAGGTATTTTTTACCTTGTGAAGGCACAACACTGATTTATTGGAACTCACATGGAAGGTGATTGTCAGCAAGAGCCGAATTCTCAAGTGCGTGTTTTTGCGAGAAATCTGACACGTAATTGCGTGTGTCGTGCCGCCGAATGACGAAGATCTTCGATATTCACTGAGAGACTCTTAATTTTATTCGATTCTTCTATAGTATTCCAATCATTAATCATCTTATGTAATTCCGGTTCAGAAAGATTCAGAGAAAATTGTCTTGGTTTATATGATTTAATGGGAATGAAATTTATTTTCATACGTATAATTTGCATTTCTCATGCTTTTGCTTCAACAATCACCGCAAATCAAGTATAAACAGATGACGTTGAACCGAAGTTATTGAGAGGTTTCCTCTGTTTATCACTTGCTTCAAGAGCATCGACACACAAATATTGCCTCAGCCATTATTTCCCGAAAACCTTAAGAGAGATTGAGAGCAAAAAAAAAGATCCATAATTAGTCATCAGCGCACATGAATAAAAATAAATCATCGATTTGATAATATGATTCTATACAATTATCTCACTTTTCACCCGCACGTTTCTGCAATTTAAAAGCACGTGCATCACACATAAAATATCTCGCTTATTTTGGTCCAAATGCTGACCCAACGAATAATTCTTCGTCTTGTGCAGCCAACTTTCGTGGCAAAAGTGTCGTGAAAAGTGCAATTAACAACTTCTTGTGCTGGACAATGAAGAGTGTTTTGGTGACGGCTGGGATTAAATGAAAGGCAAACATGTGGATTTATTTCACACATTGGCTTTATTTGCTCATATCATCGCTCCCAAATTGACGACACTGAAGACACTCAACAAGCCATTCAACATCCATCTCGGCAAATTTACTTTCAACGACCTTCCCAGCCTCGCCACCGCGCCATTTGTCACCCACATCGCATCTCGTGATTGTACAAAAGTGTGGTACATTTATTCATTATAAATTAGGTTAATTTTGCATCTAATATCTATGCTGATTTGGACTTTGTGCTGCTCCGCAGCATCAGCGTCGCCAGCTTGTGATAGGGAATCTCGAAGAAGAGTGTGAAGACGAAAGACACGCAATACACGATGATCATCATTCCGATTGTCATGACCCACTGTAAAAAAGAGAGAGACACGCGATAAAAAGCCGCACAGGTGTTTGAGAAAAGCACTGTGGGAAAATTCCTCAGCATCGCTGAATGTGTTGCAGTGATTCCGGCGACGCGAACTTACGCTGATCACAGGTGAGAAGTGACTGCTGCCATCGCGGAGGCCGTGAATGGTGGAGATGATCAGTGGATTGAGCAGGTAAACGCCATACGACAGCTTGTTGATGTGCACAAAGAGCTTCGCACTCAACATGTCGGTGAACCAACCTGTGTTTTAACACCTTTTTACAATGCATTCGCGAGTGAAATTGAACAAGAACTCACCGCCAAAGCCACAAATACTGCACAAAATCAGCCAGACGACGGAAAATCCGAAGGCAAAGCGACCGACAGTCAGCAGAACGGCGGCGTGTTGATAAGGAACTGTCCGAACGATCGTAGAGTGAATGCTAAGGAGGAAGAAGAACACCGAAACTCCCTTCAGGAGCTTCACTCTTCTCTGTGGAAAAAGGACAAATCATTGCGATCACACTAAATTGTCATATTTTATGGAAAAATTCAGGCGCTATGAATTCTGGCGCGAAATTGAACTCATTTTGCTGAGCAATTGGTTGTTTTTATTGCGAAAAACACATTCTTTTGACTATTCTATCAGTTTTAATGGTTTTTTACACTCTCAAATAAAGTTCTTCAATTCATTTCTGTATTGCAAAATTGTCAGAAGACAGAGAATTGAAAGTTTATAGTCTTATTAAATTAAATGGCAAAGAATTATCATGAAACGACAGGAATTTTCCGGAAATTTCCAGACAATTCAGGCACACATTTAACCGAAATTCTCTGCCTGAACAGGCAAAAATTTCAACTCTAGAAATGCAATTTAAAATGGCGTGATTTGCTATAAAATGTCTGACAAATTCTGAGACAATTTAGAGGTTATGTTTGCGAGAATCGCGGAAAAACTCGCGTCAGGAGTGAAATTATTGCGAGAGCAATTTTTCTTTAAACATTTGACGGAATTTTTCATCCAAAACGACTCTCAAAATAGGTCAATTGTAGTGTAATCTCATTCCAAGTCTCAATCACTTGAACTATAAGCACAAGTATTGAGTTTTCACCCACCATCATCAATGTGCATCAATATTACTTTTCCCATTTACTATGTAATCCCAACACCTCCGCACGCCACTTCAATATCTCTCTCCTGATGCGAAATGCACACTTGGAGCGTCCATTGAATGTGACACACTCAAAGGTAATAACACTTTTCCACGTGCAACCGCCACTTACCGGGCTTATATTGACTTTTCCACTGCGGGAAATGAGATACCAGCCAGCAAATATGCCCGCAATATAGGGATGAATTCGATTCCAGGGCGCCATGTACAGTTCATTGCCGGTGTTGTAAATCACGTCGAAGCTGCAAGAGTGACCAAAGATGGGTTAGAAGAAAGGGGCAGATATTATGACCTGAAGTTGTGTAATATCTAGAATATTTTCATTGCGAAAGCTTCTGTTTCAGCAAATTCTGTATTAAATAACCTTCAAAATTATGAAATCTGTGTTTAAAATGGGAATATTTCGCTTTTTCTTAACAAAATTTAGCATTTGTCTTGAAAATAAGTCCTTTTTGGTTGAGAATAAGCCTAAATGTCAAACATAACCTCAAAAGAATATCTCTTTACTGAGTTAAATCCGCGGTTTAAGCCTAAAAGTGGCAAATTCAGCCTCATTATCTATTATAAATATTGTGATATTCTCGATATTTACAGATTTGGAGGTTTCAAAGGATTAAAATTAGTCTAATAAGTATTTTAAGGTTATATTCATAACCTCACAATTTGATAAACCTCTTGAAAATGTCTAAAAAGCGATGGAAAATGTCTTAAATGTCGTTCAGAAGTGTCTCAAGTGTTAAAAATTCTGCACAGAAGCTGTGAAAGTGTCTGGAAATGGTGTACAGATTTAGGGCACATTATTAGCCCCTTGGTTAGGACGTGATTGGGTGACCAAGAGAAGTTACTCACGAGCACTGAAAGCGATTCCGCCAGTGGCTGATCAGAGACACGACAAAGACGCCAGTGGTGAAGCCGAGGAAGATCTTCTTGCACAGCTGAGGATTCCTACGGCGAGAGCATTGGAATGACCTTCTTCCGGAGATTGCAAATTTCACTCACTTGGCATAGATAAATAGGAGAACGGTGAAGATGACCGAGTACTGCATTTCGCATGCAATTGACCAACCCCAGTTCATGCACAGTTCGTCCTTATCGAAGAGATTGTGGATGTAGAGCACGTTTCGCCACCAATATCTGAGGGGTTGAGAGAGAGAGAGGGTGAAAGGGTAATTTATTGGTCACTGGGAAAATTGCTTCAAGTTTCAAGTGTGATAAACACGGTGAATTGGTGACAAAATAAACCTCTGGCAAGTCAAATCGTAGCGCTCGTGAATCCAAAATTGCGAAACATCCATCAGATATGCTGTGATGACTTCGCCAAACAGGCACACGACAAAGAAGAGCGGTGAGAGTCTGAAAAGATGAAGAATTTTCCGGTGTTTTTATTCAAAATTAACTAATTCACACTCAAAGCCGCCAATATCCACATCCAAAGCGTATTTGTAATTGAGTGACAACACAAATGAACGATTTTTCCCCCCTTAAATTTCCATAGATCAATTGCGAACAAAAACCCATTACGAACTGTGTTTGATAAAATGTAAATAGCCGACATGTTTGGACTTTTAATGAACTTTCCGGAATTGTTGATTAGTGCTTTGCAAAAGTGCTTATTTTTCGCTTTTCCTTTCCCACTGACGCCACATCAAACTGAGAGGAAAACTTTCAACAAAAAAGCATTCCTCACTCTCTCTCGCTGGACTGCAATTCATGAAAGCCACACTTTGGCTTCCGGTGCTTGATTTCCCTGGGTGATTTCTAATTAAGTGTGCTTCAGGCGCTAAGCCAAGAGGAGATTTAGGTGGTTTATAGCCACAATTCAGTCCCAACAGAGGCTTAGTTTAGACTTTCATACACGAAACAACATTTTAAATGGCGACTTTACTCATCACAATCGTGGTTTCCATGTAAATAACAGCGATTTTAATACCCTGGAGTCGAAAAAACTGACATTTCTCGACGCCACGTGTCTTGTCTCAAGACCCAGCTGCGATTAAAATCACGAATTTCGACGGAATTTCAGCGCGATTTGCGTTGAGATTGAAAAGAGATGAGAATGCATCCTTAAATAGCTTCAAGAGGGAAATTATTCACGAAAAAATCCAATAAAACTCGGAAAGAAATTAGCATGTTTTCTATTCAAACACAAAAATTCGCTCAAGATTAGTTCGTGAAGTATGAATAATAAATGCAATTGAGTGATTTGTTGATATTGTAGATTCTTCATACCTTAGATAGCGATTGAGGAGCATCTTGCCGAATAATTTAGCATTTGTGTACAAGTTGTTCCTCTTCACCTCCTCGAGCTTTCTCGTGTCGCGCAGAAAATTGTAGGAGTGCAAGAATCCACTGCGAATTTCGTGCAAACAGAGAAAGACAGAGATTTATTTCCACCGCCAGCAGAAAATTCATTTTCCATACCTGATGGTGAAGAACACATCCACGAGCAGGGGTGCATTGCTGATGAACAAGAAGTAGGACCGCTCTCCGGTGGCGAACAATGTTGCTGTGTTGCTGACGGTGAAGTGCTGAAACCAGTACATGTGGAAGCAGAGAATCCAGAAGCACACAATTGATCTGAAAGGGGAAGAATGGGGCTGAATGAGGGAAGGAGCTCTGATTAGATATGATATCTGTGCCCACGGGAAGCGGACAATGGACACCGAACCTGATGCCGTTGATCACGGAAATGGAATTGGCGGGTGCTTTTGTGCTCACAAGTTCACGGACATTCTCATCGAGGGAGAAGCAATTCACAATCCTTTGATAGAGTGCAATTTCCGACTTCTGAATCATCGAATTTGCTGCATTGTTCGCGGCTGCATTGCCCTCCAGATGCTGCTCATTCCCATCCTGATGACCATTGTTGTTGTCCTTCTGGTCCATTTTGTCGCCGCGCCACGACAGAAACGTCATCAAGCACGTGAAGACCACCAAACCGCTGAACCATGGCGATTTTTGGCCAAATAAATAGTCAACGAAAGACATCATTAAATTTCTATGAAATTGTGCACATTGAAAAATCAATTAATTGTCAGTGCGTCACAAATTAAAACTAAATAATTTGCATAAAACATTGTCCATCAGAGGTGAACAAGAGCATTTAACAAATGGGTGGTTAAGTGGATAAATAGCTATAAATTTTGCTCTCATCAATTATCGGTGGAAAATTTTACAATATTCTATGAGCGAAATTGAATTGAAAATATTTATTATCACTCAATATGTATATTGTATAATTTCGGCATGATTTATCGCATTATTGTCCACAAAATATTATTTTCTTTCAAGCGTCACAGCCACAAACGATAATCTAGTTCAGCAAATTTTAATTTATAATTCGCTTCATAGTTAAAATATTATTCACATCCTGGTGATTTCTCTATTGTTGTGTGTATCAATAAATTATGCAAAATAATTGTATATTTTTTATTTGATTTAGTCACTCCAGTGTTAAAGCCATTTTCCACAATTTTAACAATGCGAAAATCAGCAAAATTCTCATATGACAAATTTCACGCTGTGATGCACTTTAACCCCACAGCCAAAAGTGCATCGTGATTCGTGGACAAAGCGCCCAGCGATTCCTTCCGTCGCATGAAAATTACAGTGAAAAGTACATAAATTTTCCTTACCAAAGGAGCTTGACACTGGTCTTCTGGTGAAATCCATTTCCCACCCTCAGACTCTTCACTTGCACCACCCGAACATTGTCGATGTGAAAAATGTCCTGATATTGAAATATCCCTTCGTCCAAGTACAATTGCGTCATGTTCCAGATGTCTGCATCTGTACACGATGTCGGAACACATAAGCCAATGTGAAGAATTTTCTGAAATGATTTTTCCACACACTTTTTACTCTCTCGCCCGACTCGACTTTCGGATTTCATATGAATGCAAATGCATTTCGGAAAGACGGAGACACACTTTTTCCCACAAGGAGTTCAAGTGTTTCCGCCCAGGAAAACGTCCAATTCCACAGACAATGTCTCACCTCGGCCAGGAATTTCATCTCGAACTGCAGCGGCGACGCGTGGGTGGCGTAAACCACCCGGTAATCAACGTCAAAGGGTGCCGTTGAGGTGAAGAGATGAGTGTCCATGGAGCGACTGTAGCGCTCATCGAATGTCACCCCCAGAGTGTTCTGGGCGGCCTCGCAAGCTCCCCTGAAGCCCAGCCAGTGACTGTTGCCGAGCGTGAAGCCAGGTGTGAAGCTCGCAGAGCCATCAAGCACTGCAGAACGAGAGAAATCCGTTATGGAAAGTCGCGCAAACACCCCCAATTAGCACATCGTTTCGCAAAAGTCACACACAACAATCCATCAATGTGTCCAGATGATTCACGAGATTGATGAATGGCTTTTGTCATCGAATTAGAACTATTAAATCAATTAAAATATTTTGTCACTTTCATTCAACAGCCAATTTACAAGCCAGTGTTATACTATATTGCTCAACTTCTGTGAAAAAAAACTACCAAAAAAGCTGCGAAAAAGGGGGAGATAATTCATATGGAAAATCTCTAACACTCCGCAAGAGTTCGCCAGGAATCAGTGTTAAACTATGGTTATAATGATTTTCTCTCCCTGACAAACAACTGAAAACTAATCGAAATCTAACCATAATTTAACCAAAATCTAACTGACAATTTTAAAACTGAAGTTTTCCGTTTGGATCTTCAATTTAGATCTTTCAAACACAAAATCGCAGCTAGAAAATGAAAGTTTGAGGTTATTTTTGACTTTTCAGTGCATAAACTTCAGTTTTTAGATGTTTCTTTACACTTTAAAGTGTCACATAACCTAGAAATAAATATATACAGCTTTTTCTTCCCATATTATCTTCCCCTTGTTTCGTGAATGAGAGCTTTGAAAGCTTTTGCAACGCGACTCTGTGTCTGCGTGAAAATGTCAAGCAAGCGAAAAGTTCAGTTGAATGGTAATTCGATTTAAATATCAATTCGGATGATTCGAATAGAAAACAAAGCGTGTAAATTTTCCTATATCGTGTTGACATGAAATGTGTTAATTTGAACAAGACCCAGAGAGAGTATTGCTGCTGAATGGATGTACCAAATGGTCGTTATAGTCAACACACAGCGTCAAATTTCAATTGAATTGAATTGTGAAGTGAATCGGGAATGTTTCTGTGCTCGGGTTTTTGCGAAATTCACCTTTCAGCGCCCAGATTTCCCTGCGTCTCAGTGCATCGCCAATTGCTGCCAACTCGCTCTGGCATCTATTATTCACCGCCACTTCACGGGACACGCCGATAACGCCGTGCATCATCGATATCCTGCCAAGGTACTCCGCCTCCATGGGCGGGCGTGGGTGGCCGTTGAACGAATGCGAATCGATGCCGTACATTTCCTGGCACTTTGAGCAATTCCCATCGATCGCCGTGGCGCTGGAGCTCCACGCTCCCACGACGATAAGGATCCAGGACCACAAATCAGTGCGATGCATCTCACTGCCAATTGCCAAATTGCACTCTCTTCCAGATGCTCCTGTCTGAGGACCAAATCCGAATTCCTCCGCTGCAGCAGCGACTCGTTCACCTTCAACAGGTCCTCGGCACACCGCCTGCCAATAGTCAAGCCACAGAGTGGTGTGAGGAAATTGAACGGAGAATTAATGCTGAGAATTCCACAGAGCAGCCAGATAGCCTATGACACAACCTCAGGTTCCAACCAATGCAATTATTCACATCTCTCTGGTGCGGAACTAAACGCAGTTGATCTCCAATTGATTGACTATTACTTTACTATTTTGCAAAAAGAATTCCAGATTTTTTTAATTCAATGTCTTCTGAATATATTCTGAATATTTAATTAATAAACGCCTTTAAATAATTTGTGAACCAGTAATTCCCGGTCAAATTTGTCTCTAGGAAATAAAATCGGAACTTCTTTATGCCTTTAGAGTTAAAACTGCTGCCATCTAGCGTCAATATTGGGTGAAAAAATCAAATATTATAATTTTAATTAAATAATCAGAAAATAATGCAAAAATTTCCATGATAATTCAAATTTTTAAATTTTAATTGACATAATAAAAATAATTATGAAATATTCACAAAGTTAGTGGTCTAAAATCGCCAAGAAAAATGCACCAAATGCGTATTTTCTGTTTATCACACTTCGATGCTTCGTTAAAACCTGTTAATTATTTAGAATTACGCCATAACAGGATCAATAGTCATTATAAATGCACGAAATTTATAGTTGATAATTTTGCTAATTGACTCATTTGTTTGTATTTCAAAATATGAGTTGTCATTTCTAATTATAATTTCGAAATTCCTTCCTTTTTGCTGGAGAACTGTTGAAGCTTTTCTTCTCAAGCACGTCATTGGAAAAATACAACTCTCTCCATATGAGACGAAATAAGCATCAAAAGAAGCCGCTAAATAGTGTCATCTCTCAGTGTAATCACCTTAATCAAATATTATTCTTCATGGAAAGTGAAATTCTCGAGGAGACGCATGAAAAGTGTGCAAGAATTAGTGTTCGTTATCACAAATTTTTGGGATGCATTTCAAGCGACTTTTGTGGCGCACAAAATTGCGGGAAAACCCACCATAAAAACATCGGCAAATCTCATGTGTTCTCGCAAAAATAAACACCGTCATTTTTAATAATTTTTCCCAGTATTAACATACTAACGATCTATATTTGCACTGTGTGATTCTGTACAAATATCACATGAGAAGTTTGATCATTCGAAAGTGAATGAGTGACAAAACAAAATAGTTAAGATTGCAAATTTCTCAGGCTGTCTTGTGAAATAAAGTGTGAAATATTGCGGAATTTATGCATTATTTCATGTTCAAAAAAAAAACAACATGAAATGCCAAAAGTGTGCCTAGTAAATTAATTTGCAGGTATTTTTCCGTTGAGAATCACATTTCGTGGATTTTTATGTCCTTCAGCATGAGAAAGAGCACCTTATTTATCCCTCTTAACCGACAAGTGCTAATCCGCAGTGTCCCAGCGTTGTCTCACAATCTCGAGACAAATTGTGCGCTGTGTTTTTCTCGATACGCCGCACTGAAGTTGCTAATTTTTGGCTAAAATCTCCCAAGACAGCGCGCACTTCACTAAGTGGGGGGGAGATTATTAAGAAATCCATCCGCAATTGTGGACACAAATTGTACCAATTGCCATAATTCTCCCTCAGCTATAATTGTGTCAACAGACCGAGAGAATATCTCTTGGGTTTTTGTGCTTGATGAGCAGAAACAGTCGAAGAAGGATTGCGCGGGCTTTGATTTGTGGCGCAGACTTTTACCTTGAATTACTGCACAAACTCCTTCTCTCTTTCTCTCAGCAAATTGCACTGAATAATGCTAAGACGCTTTGATTGATTTATCCACTGTCGATTGAAGGTGAAGTTCTCCAGTGTGAAAACTCACTCCAAAATGAGATTTTTGCTTGTCTTCTTCCGCAAACACATTCAGCGAATCCACTTGGAGCAATCGCGCGCGCACAATGGGTGAAAAAAAACCAGCAACAGAATCAATAGTAATTAATGTTGGTTGGAAACAATTTGTGGCACCCCTTCTGGTTTGATTGTTTCACCACACTGTGTGCCAAAAGTTAAGCAGGTGGGCTTTGTGGGGTGGGAAAAGTGTGATGTTCTCTTCGGCAGACACAGAAAACTATTTTCATCATCCACACTTTTCCTGACTCTTTGTGTTTTCACCCAATAAAACAAGCGATAGAGGATAAAATGCTCACACAGGGAAACTTAATAAAATTCACTATGAATACTAATGATGAGGGATGGAATGAGTTTAAGCACAGTCGATGGAAAAGTTCAACTTTGTGTCTGAGTGAATATAGAGAGCTTTTATCTCCTCCAAATGCTTCTAGTCAACTGTCGAATTTTCCACAATATCGTATGGCTTGGAGTGGGTCTTTTGCAGTCTCGTACGCTAATTAAACACCTCACATGGCACGTCATAGAGGCAAACATCCATCAAACAGCGCGAAAGATGAGCCACAGCGATTCAACATCGCGAGAATCACAACAATCGCCGAGGACTTGAGTATTGATTTGTGTGCATTTGCAATTAAATCGATCCGTGTCACGCTGCTTTTGCTATTTTCGGTAAAATAATCTCATATTTTCACGCGTCAAAGGAATTTCACACCCACTTAGTGATTATTTGATATTGTTACACAGTCAAGGGGGAGATATTATGGTCAGAAGTGGTGTAGAACAGCGTGACAGTTTGCTTTTCTAGTCAAATTGAGCAGTTTGAGTCAAAATGTTTCAGAAAAATTAACATTTCAGCACCTTTCAGTTCCATTATGACCTCAAAATAGCATTTTGGAACAGTTTTTTGAGTCGAAAAGACCGAAATTTCGTGGCGCTGCGTGCCTTGTCTCACGACCAAGTCATGATCTTAATCATGTGACAAAGATTAAATGGGGAAAAATTAGCAAATTCATGCAGAAATAACGTATGAAAACCTCAAACATTCTCGACAAGTGCTTGAGTTCAACTGTTGAATGTTCTGTGAAGACTTCAGCTGGAATATCTCCTCCTTTCGTATAATTTTCACACATAATAAAAATGGCTGTAATGTGTTTCTCACACTGTTTAGCTGGATGTTTGCATGTCATCTGTCCATTCTTCACAGCAGATCAATTGGTCGTCCGCGTGACGCACAACAGTCACAGAGTTTGTGAGGAATTGTTGAGGAAATCAACAATAGATTAGATGGCAAAATACAGTGTGAATCTCTCCGATGAATACTCATTGGGACACCGAAGAGATTACCTGTGGATTTATTGTCTCTAATGATGAGCACTTTGCATTCAATTATTCAAGATCTATTGCATTATTGTTAAGAGGATCATTAAAGTGTTTGGCAAGAGAGCCATTTGTCTCCATTATCAATTTACAAAATGTCACAATCGAGGTCGTGCTGTTGAATTTTACTGCACTTCGCAATGTTTTCGCCATGGACACACAATCGTCAGCACTTTGTCACGCTCAACAGGTATTTCAATTAGCATCCTTGCAGTGAAACCCCTTATCTGGGATCTGGGTCATCCCCAGATGATTGAAGCACAGCGATCAGCCCAAAATTACCTGCGTAGTTGGGCTCATTTTGGCTAATTCACGTCTCACAGTGTGACTGATAAGGAGCGTCGTAAAGCGCAATCGTCCATCGAATATGAGTGGACACAGCGAAATTTACAGCTGATAAACTCTTGACGAGGGTGTTTCTATTCAGAGAATCTCCGTCGTCGGGGAACTTTCGGTCCAATTTGCGTAAATTATCAAACCATTGATGGAATTTTGATGAGACACTCCTTTTTCCACAGCGAAATTGCTGACTTTTACGATCAGTCGGCACTAAATTCAATGCTTTTTTCCGCATGTGAGCAAAGAAGGGAAATAAAATCACACGAATATCACTTTTATGGGGGTGGAAATCTTTAGAGAGCCTCAATGGATCGTTTCCATTTCATTTTCCATGCTCTTTCCCAATCCCCTCCCGCCCCCAATTAAAAGTTCTGTGCATTGAGATGTTTTCTCCTTTACATGGCAGATGCGCATATTAATGAATGAGGGTTTTTCTTTCCCCCGTCAATTTTCAATTTGACTGATGAAAAATGCAGATCATTTACTCGCTATGAAGTCCCGGGATTTGCCACATTTTGTGCGCTTCAGAGGCAATGAAACCACAAGAGATTGAAAATATGCAATTTTATCATTTGCCAAGTCAATTTTCACGCCGCGCGTCTCATCTCAAACTGACGCTATATAGAATCATTTTTCATCCATTGGGAAATTATGTATGTCAGTTGGGGGGAAATGAGGAAAAACAGACACGCAAAGGAGACTTCCGCATGAAAGGGAAGAGCGAAACTTTGGAAGCTCAAAGACAATGCAAATTGCCCCCTTCGCATGCATAATATTCCCAAGCAAAATATGAGTATGGAGGAATATTTAAATAACACTTGACTCTCACACCCCTTTCTCTCAACTTGGGGGCTGTTAAGTAGTGTGTCAAGCCCAATGAGGGGTGCGCGTTCGCCACTCTCCCCGAGCAGGCTGATTTGTATTCATTTTCCACCCGTTTGGCTGCCGAGGCGATGCTTTTTATGATAATTCACCGCACTTGCAAGATATTCACCATGCATGATAATACATAGATAAGTGTGTGAATTGTTGCCAAAAAAAAACTTCCCTTTTGCAGCACGCGCGCGCGCCTCACTGGCGGAGTTGAGAATATATTTGATGGGCGCTCGAGAGGGTGGAGAATTCAGGCCACTTAGCACCAAATAAGCATAAGTGAAAATTCTATTTGTTAACTCCTCGACAATGCCCCAAAAATTTGGGGAACCATCGAGGGTGTGGGTCAAATTAAAATACAAGTTGCGTTCTCGGCTAAGAGCTCGCGACCCAGAGTTTGAGGCTGATTCCCTGATTCACTTGCTCATTCTGTGTGATTTTCACTGCGGGGCACAGCAAATGAGCCTTGTTCCTAGACAGAAGTACAAGAGTGAGAGCAGCTCAAGGGCTGCCAAGGGGAGAAGGCGCTTCAGAGTGGTGTACCCGTAGAAATTCACGCGCAATAAAATTCCACTGAAAGTAAACACTTCAATTTGCACGATTCAAAGGTCTTTTGCCATCGTAAATTGATAGAGATTTATTTTTGTGTGATAATAGCGCTAAATAGGCCGGAATTACACATATCGTGACCATCCAGAGAAGCTAAGAAAAGCTAAAAAGCAGCTATTTTCGCACATGAACTTTGTGGAATGAAGATCTATGGTGAAAGACTCACCAATTTACCTTGTTTTGAGTGATTTTTGGCCAGAAAATATGAGTTTTTCATCATCTCTTGACGCTCTTCTGCACTTAATGGGACTCTAAAGAATGGAAAACCTGTGAAAATCTTGCGATATTTTACACTTGACGCATACTTGCGTACTTGAGGAAGAAAAATGTTTGTTTACAATGAATAATTTTGCACCTTTTGCACTATAAAGTCACGTTGAATGGGAATTTCCATTTGGTTTTCGTGGAATTTCTGTTTGCTTTCGTGAGTGATTCTCATACACCACTTCGCTAAGATGACTCTGCCTTGGGCCAAGAGAAGTTTTCGAGAAAGGCGATGTTCTGTCGAGTGAAAATGTGTAAATGTCTTATGTGCAAACATCCAGAGGAGAATTCCCGGAACGATGAGCGGTCTCAATTGTGTTGTCTTCGCATTGAAATGGTTTTGGATGTTGAGGGCAGAACAGGCCAACGTATAATGTCGACATTTAGAGCATTTCTTGAGCTACGCAATATGAAATTATATATAGTGTAAGGAGTGATTCGACGGTATGGCTTATATTGTGCAAACCTTTGGTTGTTCAATCAGAAAATGAGACCCAAAGAGACTCCTCGGAATGGGACAAAGACGCACAGTCGCTTTTGGGTTGTGCCACAGCAAGTTTACATGGTAGAAAATCTTTTAATCAAGCCCAGATAACAATTCATGTTTGATCCTCTCGGCATGTGAAGCTCACCTCCTGCCCGCGCCTTGTCTTGGTCTCTTCCTCAACAAAGATGCCTTTGAAAAGCCCTCCCCAACATGATGGATTAAAAGCCCCGCCAACATCAACTACAAAGCTCGGAAATTGTTCTCTTTTCACATTTGCGGTGAACCCCAAGATTTCGTGGCATTTCAGCAAACTCCAACTTTGATGCCAGCACGCGAACACGCGTCGTGATGACGCATTCTCAAGACGCCGGCAGTAAGTCAGATGATCGTCGCGATTTTTCTCTCAAACACTGCCTGATTTAGCCCACTCAATGACACACCATTCACGCCAAATTATCGGCATCTCTTGAGTGTCTTCATTATCGCAAGCCATCCAATTGTGCAGCATCTCAGGAAAAGGAATGGCGACGCCGTGAGAAGCTCATTACTCAAAAAAGAACTTCAAAAGCTGGGCGGAGATTTGCGAAATTGTCCTAATTGCCAGCGCACGTGAGCTTAGTAAAGTCCACGGCTAATCTCTCGGTGGGATTTTCTCAAGTAAATGACACTTAATCCCCAGGTGAGTTTGCAGTCCAATCCACCTCGACTTTTCAGCAAATATTGTCACAACAAATATTTTCTGCGCGCAGCTTCTCGCGGCAATTATATTCAAATTTGTCGGCAGACGCTTGGATGGGAAAAGTGACTTAATTTTCTGGCAACACATCACCTTTAAGCTTTCCCAAACAAGTCTCATTGTTTAGTTTTCAAGATTCGGGCACACCCTCAGCGCCACGGTGTGATCTTGGCAAGGCCACAGGGCGCGGCGATGGCTTCTCATTTTGCACCAGATATTCAGCATATAATAATGTTTTCTAATTGCCTGGGAAATATTATTTCTTCCAGCATTGAAGCCAAGGGGAAAATCATTCGCAATCTCCAACCATTTGCAGCAGTTTAAAGGCATTCAGAAGTGCTTATTTCATTCCACAAATCAATCGTTTCTAAGAGTTTCTTTTAATAACTTCATTTTTTCGCTGAAAATTCTTCTTTTAGAGATAGAAAATTTCGATACAGCAAGAAATATTTAAATTGCAATTAAATATACAGAAAATATTTAAAAATCATGCCGAAAACATTAAATTTGTTGATTATTTTGCCATATTATCTGGGAAATATTCATTTTCTTATTTCTTTTATTCAAATTTTGACTATTAAGATTCCTCAAAACTCGGCTAGTGATTTTCCCCTTGATTGAAGTATTTTATAATAATAATGTGGATATGTTTATCTTTCGCATTGATTCATTTTTCCAAGCGAGCTTTCGCAGAGCTTTTTCTTGAAACAAAGCAAAAATAAATAGAAAAATTACCCTGCTTTTAGTCTGTACAAATTAAATCGTCTTGCAGACGCTTTATAAGAAGCAAAACACAGGATATTCATGCCTTTATATTGGCAAACATACTTCAATTTGATCTTGGAGGAAAAATACAACTTTTGCGTTAGACAAATTGGATTTTCTCCACTTCGGCAATCAATTAATGGATGCATAAAACAAATTTACACTTCTGGTTCTGCATGGATGTTTGTATTTATCAAAACGTCCTGGAGATGTGCCGGTGATTTTCGCAAAAGCTCCAGTGCGAGGTTCAATCGTGGGTGATTTGTGTGACGCAAAACAAGCATTTGGAGAGTGTGTCTGACTGGAAATGTTGCCACACACACGAGAGAGAAATTGCCATTTCAAAGGCAAACACTAATCTCGAGAAATTTCAATTTCCATTAATAATTCCAGCATGGAGAGCTGTTGTTGCTGGAAAGCACACATTGGAGGTGTTTTGTGTTGACCTCAAGTTTTTGAGAGTTTCGCTGCGAGAGGATTAAAAGCTCACCAAGTGGGCGAGAAATTCTCCCAGACTCATATGTTTCACGGAGATATCATGTGAGCTCACGGAAAAGTTAATTACACTATAAAATCGTCCTGCATGCCCAGGATTAAATGCTTGGAGCTCGGACGCCTCTTTTGCCACAGCGATTTTCCGGAATTTCACCACGATTTTGTGCCGAAATTGATATTCATACGCGTATTGACCGCTCAATTCAGTTATTATCCTCCCATCCATTCGCCAAAATCCTATTTGTTTTCAATTATATTTATCTGGGCATCCTTTAAGAAGATTTTTGTATATATTTAAGGATTCCACAAGAAAACAAAGACACTCAAATAAATGATTTGTCAATAGGAATCTCACATTTGACCTTCAGCATATAATGCAATAAGACAGAAATTCATTGTCGCATTTGAATATTTGCTGAGCTTTCGTGTTCACTTCTAGCATCAGAATTGCCCGTGATGAGGAGAAATCGAGTGGCACGTTTCTGAAATATTCCGTAAAATTGCAAATACAATTTATTCAGAATATGCAAAATGACGGGCTCTGAGCTTTCTGCAGTCGAAAGCTCACGACGCTCAATCCCCACTGGTTAGGGGTAGGGGGCGAGGGATAAGGAAAGAAAGCATGCCTTATCATTGCTATCCTCACGTAATTCAATAGCACTTGTTTATGTGGTGAGTGACGATAAAGGCAAAGGGAGAAAGGACCCTCTCGGCAGTGCGAGTGCAGTGCAA